CACTGGCTGGGAGACAGACACTTAGGGAGACATGGGGACAGTTGTGGACATAGACATGGGGACACTGGGACACATGGGGACACTAGGCACACTGATAGACATGGGACACAGACACTGGGAGACTTGGGGACACTGAGACACTAGGGACACTGGCTGGGGGACATAGTGTATCCGTGTCCCAATGTCTCCCAATGTCCCTATGTCTCACAGCGTCCCCATGTGTCTCAGCATCCCCATGTGTCTCAGTGTCCCCTAGTGTCTCAGTGTCCCCTAGTGTCTCAGTGTCCCCAGGTCTCCCAGTGTCTGTGTCCCCATGTGTCCTAGTGTCTCAGTGTCCCATAGTGACAGTGTCCCCATGTGTCCCCTAGTGTCTGTGTCCCCTAGTGTCTGTGTCCCCATATGTCCCCAGGTGTCTCAGTGTCCCCGTGTTTTCCAGTGTCCCCAAGTGTCTCAGTGTTCCCAGGTCTCCCAGTGTCTGTGTCCTAGTGTCTCAGTGTCCCCTAGTGTATGTGTCATCATGTGTCCCCTAGTGTCTGTGTCCCCTAGTGTCTCAGTGTCCCCATGTGTCCCGTAGTGTCTCAGTGTCCCCTAGTGTATGTGTCCCCATGTGTCCCCTAGTGTCTCAGTGTCCCCTAGTGTCTCAGTGTCCCCTAGTGTCTCAGTGTCCCCAAGTGTCTCAGTGTCCCCATATGTCCCCTAGTGTCTCAGTGTCCCCATGTGTCCCCTAGTGTCTCACTGTCCCCATGTGTCCCTGCTGCCTATCCCCCGATCCCTCACTTACCTGAGCTCTAGAGCTGCTGTCTGGACTCTCTGTGCTGTGTAGCTGCTCCCCCACGGATCAGTGAGTAGTAGAGAGAGGCAGGGATATTCTGTAACTTCCTATCCCTGCCTCTCTCCACACACAGTGACCCCTACTGGCCGGTGCTGGTATTGCAGGGTAATTTCCATTTATTCTGAGAAAATTACCTGCATTTGTATTGCTGGTATTACTGCAATACCGGCAGGGCCAGGCAGCCTCAAATACCGTCTGTGCCATTAAAATACCAGTCAGGTGGCAAACCTAAGAGTAGTGTGTAATAAAAACAAAAAAACAACAACAAAAAAAAAAGTTTTTTTTTTTTTTTTTTAAATGGGCCTGGGCCTGGAGCTGCAGCTCCATCAGCCCCTATGTTAATCCGGCCCTGGGTGTCCACCTCGTGGATCCACCACTAAGGTGCAAGTATCTGGCTCAAGGATCCAGTTATATACTTAAGTTAGGAATGTGTGTTTCTCATTTCATTACATAGACTTTAGTATTATATTTAAAAAAGAAAAAATAATAATAAAAAAATATATATATATATATAGATATATATAATTTCAAAACTTGATGAAAGGATTATTATATTAAAAATCATTTTGAGGTGACAGTTGCCCTTTACGATTTAGTAGTATTGGGGTTTAGAATGTCCCTTAAAGTACTAGAGTCTTAAAGAGAAATGGTTACTTGCCAGGATTTTTATTACTATGTTTACCTGTCATCTGCACCTGGCAGCCATAGAGAAAGCATATAGAGGAGAGGAGAAATTGGACAATGTCATTATTTCTCTTTATTTCCAGTGTTTTCCCTAGCTTTGTCTTGTCTGAGATGAATGATGATGTACTTTGCCAAATCTTTAATTATAAATTTAGTTCTTCACGAAAAAAAGGTTAACAGCCGAAAAGGGTGATTTTCAGTGTTTTACTCAGCATTGTAAAAAATTGCAGAGACGTGATAGTTCCCCTTTAAAGCACAGTGTAATATTCACTAATTCTTTCCAACCTAATTCCATTTTGGAACACACAATCTAATAGGTGAGTCGGGTAGTGAGAATACTCATGGCAGGATTTGAGAATTCCTGTGGGTTTTTTTAAGGATTTTTATTCGAAATATAAAAATAAAAAAAAATCAATTTTACTTTATTTTTACCCTTTTGCAGGTATTCATACATCTTGGTCTATAGTGGTCAAAATGTGGTCAGATATATTTTATGCTAATCTGGATTATATGTTTCTTTACGAATCAGGGACTATATACATTGCATCCAGAATCCAGTGTTTTGTTTTGTATATTTTTTTATTGAAAGTGGCTTATCAACCCATTCCCTATTAAAAAAGAATTGCAAGGTTACCTACACATACAGAAAGTAAAATTGCAAGCCCACAATTCATAAGAATAAGAAAGTGGCTAAACGGCATATCTTGCATAAGGGAAATCATATGACCCCAAGTAAGTGGGCCAAGACCACAGGAAACGCAGACTACATTTGGTATAAGGACTTCAGCTTAAATCTCTTGGTGGTTGCTGGTGCAGCACTGTGAAAACTAGCAAACTATGAGTCCCAGGTTCAACTCAACACATTAACATTTTAATAAAACGCCTTAAGCAACCTCAAAGTGTGCAACAAAAAATATTTACCTTAGGTTGAATACAGTTCTTAAAGAGACACTATACCCACCAAAACAACTTTAGCTAAATAAAGTTGTTTTAGTTTATAGAGCGTGCCTCTGTAGTTTAAATCACTTTTCTTTTGGTTTATGCAGCCCTAGCCACACCTCCCCTGGCTGTAACTGACACAGCCTGCATGAAAACAAAATGGTTTCATTTTCAATCAGATGTAACTGACTTTAAACATTTTTATCTCCTGCTCTGTGAACTTTCATTACATACAGGAGGCTACTGCAGGGTCTAGTAAGCTATTAACAGTGCAGGAGCTAAGAAGTTCTAAATTAAACAGAATTTGCAAAAAAGGAAGTGTAAACATTAGATGACTCTTTACAGGAAGTGTTTAGGAAGGCTGTGCAAGCCACATGCACTGGTGGTGTGAATAGGGTTCATAAACAAAGTTATTTAACTCCTAAATGTCTGATAATTGAGGAGTGAGACTGCAGGGGCATGATCTATACACCAAAACTGCTTCATTAAGCTAAACATTTTTGGTGACTATAGTGTACCTTTAGTTAGGATACAAGAGGTATAAGGAAAGGAAAAGCAAAAAAATAAAATAAATGAGAGTTTCACTTTAAAATGCGTCAGCATTTAAACTGAGATTGCCATTTGACAGTTAAAAAAAATGAAAATAAACTGATGATGAATTTAAAAAATATGTGCAACTTGGTTTTCCCCCCTCTCATTGATGTTTCTATTGGTCAAAAAAATAAAAAAAAATTGCTCTATACAATGAAAGCAGCCCTTGTGACAATGTCATGTCTCCTTCAAAGTAATTCTACTTCCATCTGCAATAACATCTACAAATTCTCTGATTCGCTTTTTAGTAATTAATTGTTCTATGACTTTTAAATAAACTAAACTGTGGCAATATTCAAAATAGAGACTGATCCCACTAAAGGGCATGACTTCAAAGAAATTATCACTGATAAAATGTCACTTTTATTGGTAATATATATAAAAAAACACTTTGAAACATATGAGGGCAACAATATGAAAGTTAAAGGTTAATTTTTCCTCCTGTGCTCATATGTTTCAAGGTATTTTTTTTTAATACATTACCAACAAAAGTGATGTTTTATCAGAGGTAATTTCTTTATAGTCAAGCCCCTTGGTGGGGTCTGTCTAGTAATTGCTGTTCTAAGTAGGGTCAAGCCCTTTTTATTACCTACCCAACCTCGTTTGCTTTAGAGCAATTTTTTTGCACCTGACGTTTTTGTTTTAGTTTCATATTCAAAATATGTTTCCAATACCTATATAAACTGCAGCTAGGTTGCAACCATGATAAGAGACTCCCAAACATTAATTTGCTAATAAATGATTAAAAGAACTCTTCAAACAGCACAAACATACAGCTGGCTATAGTGGTTATGGGGTCTACCAGGAGCAGCCTCAGCCTCTTCTCAAGCTACAAGCTGCAGGACTAGGCACTGCAAGGCTTAGTTCATTGTATAAGAATGCTCAGCTTACACTGTCCACCAATGAGCAGACCCTGTGCAGGGTTTAGCTTGAAGGGGGTAACAGAAGCTCCTTGCAGGAGCTTCGGGCCCCTATTTATGACCAGCACCTGACTGATTTCAGCTAAGTTGTCAGACCGTTTACAAATTGTTTGCCTACTTACCCTGTGAAGGCATCAGGACACGTCTGGTACCATAACTACTAAAAGCAAACTGTATACATTTTACTGCATTCTGGTATTCACAATTTTATTGTTTTACAAGTACAAGGGATGTAAATCTTTGGACCAATGGCATTCGGTTCAGTTCGGCACTTCGGAATTGCCGAACGTCATCACTTTGGAACTTCGGACATTCGTAAGCATCTGAATGTCAGAATAGCATAAAATTTGTACGAATGTACAATGGGAACAAAACAAATTGCACATGTCTGTGCTCATTTCATTGGACAGGGAATAGTGAAACCGGATTGGGAAAGCAAGCATTACATTGCACAAGAGGAATTAGCTTATTGGTCAAGATTCCTGTCATCATTCACATAATTCCCCCCCCCCTCTCTCTAGTTTTGCCACTTTTCAAATATCCAAATCACTTCGGCACTTTGGAGCTTCGGCACTTCTGAACTTCGTCATTTCGCAGCATCCGAATGTCCAAATGGCATGAAATTCGTACGAATGTACATTCGGAACGAAATGAATTGCACATGTCTAGAATTTAGTTTCCATTACAGCATTATATTTCTGTTCTTATTGGATGTGTATGGTTGTTATATCAATATAATCTGGTCCCACCTTTCTTCAAAAGCAAACAGCATTGGTGCCAGAACAGAGTCACTTCTGTCACTCCATTCTTTTATTGTCCAAGGAGCACAACCTACATGCCATAGGAATACCTGTGCTAGAGAGCAGGAGAACCACCTAAAGGAAGGTTCTCTTGCTCTCATTTCTCACTCATTTGGCATAGAGGTCTGTAATGACAAGTAAAGGGCAGGTTTTTAAATAGATTAAGACAATCTACATATTTTTGTTTAGATATTCTGCAAGCACACACTATAGGTGATCTTTTTATGTACTGACATTTTATTGAATTTAAGTTAGCCATTACAGTTTCACTTTAAAGAATAAGAAATAAATACACGTTTTGCATTGTTCATAAACAAAAGCACTGTTCTTTCATTTCATTTTATAGATGATGCTATAAACCACTTTTCTACATTTTCTTGCTTTTCCAATGTTATCTCCAATCAAGTCAAATTATTCAATATTTTTATACCTTTTAATGTTTGCACTTTTGTTTGTCAATAATGTTTTATTGAGGCAGGTTTACAAACACATAGGATTCACATTGTAAGTTGAAATGGGACATTGAAGTATAACCTTAACAATTGTAAGCATTCAACTTTAGCATGCTTCTTTTACTTTTTTTGCCTGTGTGTGTCTGTTGTGGTTGTGCAGTATGATCGGTGATTGTTGTTCTAGTTAGGTGTAGGTACCTCAAATGTGGGTGGTGTGCTGTGTCATCTGCTATAACAGACTAGTCTAACACCAGGCCAACCTGTCCTCCGTATAGCGTGTCTTATTCTCGGGTTGGTGTGTCGGGCGTGATTATAAGTGACACCGTTGTTGGTGATATAGGTACCAATCATTTTAACTTGTGGATGAATGACCCCTAACCTATAGGGGACATATAGGGGGGGGAGATAGCGAACCGTCTTGTGGGTTCGGGCACTATCGTGACTATTATGAGCCATCTGCGGGCATTGACTTTTGAAGTAGATTAGGCTTATGTAGGCCTAACGGTACTCTACTGAGTGTGAGGCATAAGAAAAAAGGGTGAAAGTAAATCAATGGTAGGAATGCTGAACAGAAATAAAGTAAACAAAATAGTGTTAGGCATAGTGGATGGTCAAGTCGCTGCAACCGGCTTCTCTCTCTCCACAGGCGCGAAGGACTTTGTTCGGCGTAGATCCCAGGAATGGGTGGTGGAGGAGGTATTAGGCTCATCTGCATGTGGGTTTAGTCCCAGTGTTTGAAGAATCCAGTATGGTGGTGAGTCTTAGAATTCTGCCATCCACTGTTGTAGCCGTAAGGGCTCTCGGTAGAATCCATCGATATTCCACTCCAGCTTCTCTCAGTCGACTTGTGAATGCGCTTAGGGACTTCCGCCATTGTAGGGTATTTCTGGTAAGATCCTGAAAAAATGTCACTTTGGAAGCATCAAAGTCCAAGGGAGTTTTGCCCTTCACTGCAGCCAGGAAGTGGTTCCTGTCCGACACGGAATGAGAGCGCACAATTATGTCGTGGGTGGCATCGGATGGGGCCTGTCTGCATTTATTGATTCTGTAGCAGCTGTCAAGTTTTTTAGCCTGTGAGTGAGGCATGAGTGATTCTGTCAGTCGCCTTAAGTAGTGTGGCAGTTCAGCCTGGCTTATTGAATCCAGGATACTTCGATTTTGATATTGGCATGTCTATTGCATGATATTTACCCTCTGTGTTAGGGAAGTATGTGAGTGTTGTAGGCTTTGCATTTGGTCTTTCAACCCTTGTACCTCTTGCTTGAGTTCCAGGACTTCGCCCTCTGTAGTCTGTGTGCGCATTTTCACCGCATGCATTTCGGTGCGGACCACGTCTAGATCGGCCGCTGACATCTGTCAGAGCTCCCTGTCTTGTTTGGTGGCAGGGGCTAGTGTGTCTTGGTCTTCCATTTCCTCAATTAGTGTCGTGGGGGAGATGCCATCTCCAGGTGTTGTTGGGTCAGCTTGGGATTCTGTCACGTGCATTCCATTGTCTGACCAGTCCGCCATCTTGGGATCCGCTGGGCGCTGCAGCATCTCCCCTATGTCTTGGGAGTCTTTGCTGGAGCCAGGCAGAGGTTTCAGGGATCTGCGTCCCATGATGTCTGTGCGCTGTGTAGGGCTGCAAGGCAGCCAGGGCAGGATGTATAGCTCTGCTAACTCTGCCTTGAGGTCCTGTTTGGCGGGCCGCTTGGTTGAATACCCTAGGTAGGCCACGGATTTGCAGCAAGCCTTCTTGCCTGATTTCAAGTACAAGAAAGGCACGTGTCTGCAGCTCACCCCTTCAGGAGTATGATGAGTGCCTGTAAGGGGTCCGATGGCTGCAGAGTACCCTGGAATTTGATGAGGTTTGTGGTCAGTGCCCGGAGCTCTGATGAGACGTGTCTGTTCGGCTCAGGCACTAAACTCCGCCCCCCAATGTTTGTACTTTTAACATATTGATTGATAGATAAATATTATCCAAAAATATTAAGTAATTTGCAACGCTTATCCAAAAATATTAAATCGATGCCTAAGTTTGTCAAATATATACAATATTTAAGAGATTACTAAATAAATGTTCAGAAATTACTTCATTGCTTTGCTACAGAATCATTTGCAAATAGTGTCTGGTACTGGTGGCTTATTGATCTTCATTTTGTCTAGACTCCCCTTTAACTTCATTTTGAATTAGCCAATAATTTGTTGAAAGAGATATGTTGCTATGAATTTCTGTTTCTACTGCTACCAGATTAGTGTAAATTAAAAAAGTAAATTATAAAGACTGATCATTACATTGGCCTTCCTGTATCCAGTGCCTGGATCACTTCTTGTGAGGTTCAATTTTCATTTAATCTTTTAAAAAAAAAAAAAAAAGAAAGTTTGGTGTAATTTTCTTTGCTCTCATAGTTTCGCTACTTAGCTAATAAACTAGCATTATTCATTATGAAGCCATAGTTTCCTTTGTTTCCTCATATTATGTTGTAACTATATCTAAAACAGCAGTGTTTTGGCCAGGGCAGTATTGAATTTGATCTATTTTTAAGGTACTTACAGAGTTATTTACTAAAGTGAGAAATCAAGGTGGATTTTACAATTAAAAGTCAATCTGGAAAAAATATCTAGGTCAGCTAAACTTTCAGTTCGACTATGCCTTCAAATTTGAAAATCACCCTTAATTCCCTTTGAATTCTCACTTTAGTGAATGACCCAGTTAGATTGTAGTTCTAAATATAATTAAATATTAAATTAGGGCATGCCTCTAAACTTGCCCTCCTCACCGGATCCCATCGGGGGGACTATGTGACAACCGAGGCCAGGGCCGGTGCAAGGATTTTTGCCGCCCTAGGCAAAAGAAGGATTTGCTGCCCTCCCCCACCCCCCCGGAACATCGCAATGCCCCACCCATATGAACTAATGCCAGTGCTGCACACAGTGTGTGTTTACATTGAAAAGCCTGCAGGGACAGGCTATAGACACCAGAACAACTTTATTAAGCTGCAGTGGTTCTGGGGACTATAGTGTCCATTTAATGTGAGGTAAATTAGAGATTAGTGTCTCTAATAATATACTAGATTGCCTACTTACAATCAGATGAGGATGGTGATGGGCTCTGGCTGCAGTCTGGCTCCACTGGTCTGGTGTAGAACAGGATCTCTGGAGGCTGCTTGTAACTGTGGTCACAAAATTCAATGTTCTGGGAGAACGGGAAGCAGCTCCATTTTTTGGGGCCTCTTACATAGCTCAAGGTCTGGGCCCCAGGGCCTGACGGTGCGTATGCCCATAAAGCCCACCCATAAGTCCACCTACATGTTCCACCCATGAACTCACAGGGAGTAGAGTGTGTAGGGGATTTGTTATGTGTTACTGTAGAGGATCTAATGTGTGTGCTTACGGAATGTAGTGTATAGGGATACCAGTTTGTGTAGGTGATGCAGTGTGTTTGTGTGTAGTGGAAGCAGTGTGTGTGTGTGTATAAGGGATGTATTGTGTGTTTCTTATTGTGTGTCTAAGGGATGCATTGTGTGAATCTGTGTTTGTATGCATAAGGGATGCAAAGTGTGTTTCTGTGTATGTAAGGGATGCAGTGTGTGTGTCTGTAAGGGGTGCGTTGAGTGTGTGTAAGAGATGC